AGAGTAGTGACCAGTTCAGTTCAGGCATTTGGCTTTTCCCTTAAGCTGTGCATTTCCCCCACGTCAGGGACTTCCAGTTTCCTCTTTCTAGAGAGCCCAGGCTTCAGCACAGAGGGCCCCTGCTGCAGCAGAATTGAGGTGTGCAGGAAATGTGAGCCTCAGCCCAGGCTTGGGAACAGTTGTGGTCACTGGTGACGTTAGAGCCTTGCAGGGGACAGTCTGAGGGCCTGGAGCTAGAGCAGGGAATTCCAGGTTCATACCTGCATCTTAAACAGGTGAATATGTTTTTCTTCACTGTGTTGGCACAATCCCCAGATTAGTTACCTCTTCCCTGTATGCTCTTAGAATATATAAACTGTGGAAGGTCTGTAAATAAATTTGGCCACCTGGAACCCCTTTTATAAAGAATTCAGAGCCCAGACTGAAGTTCAGTTTTCAGATGGTCTCACAGTCAGGCTGGTTTCTACCCTTCAAACCCTGGAGGTGTCCTGTTGTGTTCCATGCTGTGGTGTGAGGCTGGAACCCACCCTGCTGTCCCAGTCTGTTTAGGTGGGGTTGGTCTGCCCTGGTGATGCACTTGGCACTCACTGACCATTGCTGTCCTTGTGCAGCTGCCACAATGTCACCTGAAACACTTTTCCACGGGTTACGGAGAGTTTAGATGGGAGCTGCAGTTTAGTATGTAAAACAGTGTCCCTGGCACCTTGTAATCTTCAAGGTCACTGCTGTGTTGGACTGCTGGGAGGCAGAAACCTTTCCCACAGTGTGTGTCTGTTACTGTCTGAGAGATCACTGTTCTCTGACAGATAAAAAGACCCAACCAACAGCCCAGAACACCCCCCCGCAAAAGCCCAACTAAACACAAAACAAAAAAAATCATCACACAACCCCACCAAAAATGCACCAGCCCTCAACGTCCCTCACATATGTTCTGAGCACGTGGAGCTGCAATTCTGTTTTACCTTAGCAAGTGGATTTAAAAGAAAAAACTACAGCTACTGTGTTGTGAGTTAAATGTTTCATAAAAAATGAAACCCATTTTGTTACAGTAGCAAAGATATAAAACATCCATATTTAAAAATACTGGATTTGAACCTAAGCTCCCTTGTGCTGCTCTGTTTTGCAGGCTGAGATTCTGGGCACGTTCAGGACTCTGTCCCAGCCAGACTTGCACACTGAGACTGTCAGGGCTTGGCCATGAGGGGTGATTTGTTGTGGATGAAAGGGTTGCAGTCCCAGCTGAGTGCACGGCTTGTGTACTGCACTGGGGGGTCAAGGAAAGGCACAGCTTTGTGTTGCTGTACCTCATTTTGGGATTTAAGGAGCTTGGGTGCCTTTGCAGAGGAGGCTGAGAGCAGAGCTGTGTGTGTTCATTGCTTAATGCCTTCATCACCAGCCCCTGAGCTCAGGGTCACCCCCTGAGCAGGGAATGAGCTAGATCACCGTGGGAAGAGTTAGGACAGGCTGGCAAAGGCTGCTACAGGGAAGTCTGTTTTTTAATATATTATTTTCCTGAAAAACCTCTTTCAGCTAGAATCTGATCTGGTTCAGGAATTACTGATGGTCTTTTTTTAAGCAGGCAGCCAGAAAAATGCCACGCATTACTGTGGGCATCTGTGTGCCTTGGAGTTGTTGGATGTGACTATTGCAGTTCTCCAGATTAGGGAGGCACAGTGCTTGATTTACAGATGGGGAACTCCAGGTATCTCTGGCCAAGTTCAAAGATCAGTCTGTCATTCACCCTGGGGACCATCTCAGGCCTCCTGCCCTGCTGGGATGGGGTTTTCCCTTTGCCTCAGTCCTTGTTCAAGATAGATGCTGAAGTTCATGCAGGAGAATTTTTACAGTATCAGTCTCCCTTGAGGTGCTGTGTGTTCTTCCTGGCCTGGGGAATGGGGTGTGCTTGTTCCTTGCTCCTGGGCTGGGAGCTCAGACCAGGGAGAGAGGGATCTGTGGCTGAGGTCAGTGGCTCACAGCCCCTGGGGGCAGCCACACCCCGTGTGCTGTCCTCTCTCACAGCCTTCAGGGCCCCTTTAGAGGGCTCTCAGTGAGAGCGGATGAGTTTGGGCTGTCTTGGAAAATCCTGCTTAGAAAGATGTGGTGCTGCCTTGACTGTTCCCGTGGGGCAGTGCCTGTCAGGACACTGCCCCCTGCCCCCTTCTCCCCTGTTCCTTCTGTCACTGGTCCATGCCAGCGGGGCAGGTGTGGCCAGGGGCTGGCTGGGGCACAGCCCGAGGACGTGTCCCCTCCTCACAGGCTGCCTCCTTGTGTCTTGCAGGGCAACGTGTACGTCAAGTGTCCCTCGATCGCCGCTGCCATCGCGGCCGTCAACGCGCTGCACGGGAGGTGGTTTGCAGGTGGGTGTTTCACGTGCACTTCTCTACTCAGTCACCCCTGGCAGAAATGCCCAGCCACTGATGGTTGTTTTTGTTTGATCCTGTGCTCAGGTAAAATGATCACAGCAGCGTATGTACCTCTTCCAACGTACCACAGCCTTTTCCCAGACTCCATGACTGCAACCCAACTACTGGTTCCCGTTCGACGATGAAGATTAATTTAGTCAGTTTTGTACATAGGTATTTTTTGGAGGAAGATTGAGTTATCTTTTATTTAGATAAAACTAAAGGAAAGGATTTAATGTCATTTTGTGTACACTTCCTGCTACCTTTAAAAATAAAACGAAGTAAGCAGAAATGCAGTGTGTTCATTCTCCCTAACTAGCATTTCCACTGTATACAAAGCTGTTGACTTCTTGTTCTGCCTTGTAATTCTTGTACATTGACTAAGGTGATCCGTAGGAACTGAGAAGTAGCTCATAGATAACAAGTTCTCTGTAAAAGGCAGATGGGACATAATGACATTTTTAATGTTTCACGAGCCTTTCTTTTAATGCAGCAAAGACATTTTACATTTCACTAAATGTGGGTGATCTGCTCAAGGGCAATATCAGAGAGAGACTGGATGAAGGGACATATTTAGTGTTTTGTACAAATGAAAAATCCAAAAGGCTACTGAAGGCTGACTGCGGCAGCTACTCAGCTTGCTTTGTGCTGAATAATTGGTAAGAATAGAAGGATTGAAGGGTTTTATTTCTTGATGGTAACTTTTGATTAATGTATCTGTAAAAGTTTCTTTGTAAATACTGTGAGGTGTGTCTAAGTTTCCAAACAAAACGATCTCTGCATTTCCGGATGAGTTTCCACATGTGCAGTGAGGCAGAGCTGACAGATTCCAGCCAAGGCTGAAAAGGGGTAGGAAATACAGAAACGTGTTTTGTTCTGGTTGCATATAATCTTTGCTCTTTTTAAGCTCTGTGAGCTCTGAAATATATTTTTGGGTTACTTCAGTGTGTTTGACAAGACAGCTTGATATTTCTATCAGACAAAGACTTTCATATTGCAACAATCTTTGTAAGAACCACTCAAATAAAATTCTCTTAAAAAGGCCTTCATGAAGCTTTATTTCTCTGCTCTCCCACTGTGACTTAAGCAGTGTGTGCTGTGGCCTGCAAGGGAGTGATGGGTGCTGTGCAATGGTGGATGTCAGGGATATCACTGCAGGTATCCCAGGTGGAGATTCATGGGATACCACGTGCTCAGAGCACATGCAGGAGCTGGTTCCTGCTGTTCCCAACCCTCTGCTCTGTCACCGTAGTTGTTGAGGACCTGGGCAGAGCTCACCCTCCTCAGGCTTGCTGGAAGTTCATCCCAGAGCTGCCTCCCTCCTGCCCACCTCCACTTTCATCATTCACAAATGGTTGGCAGTCCCGGAGCTGGAGGAATGGGTTACACTGGCTTTTGCTCTGCTTTCTGGAGGGAGCCTCCCCTGTGCTTTGCCCTTCCTACCCCTGTCCTGCCTACCTGGCCTTTCTAACCACTCAGAAAAACTGTTTGGCCAAGGGGGAGAGTATGGAGTGAGAACATTCCTCCTGGTGGGGGAAGGCTCGGCAGGCAGTGCAGGGGTCCTCCTGCTGTTCCCAGAGCACTGGGATGACCGGCTCTCCAGCAGGGCTGTGTGTAGCTGTGCCTGAGCTGCAGTGGGGCAAGGGACTGTCCTCAGCAATCCAGGAACTGGGAGCAGGTGACAAGGGAGCACAGAGGTGGGGAGGGGCCAGGAAGACATTACGGGAGGGTCTGGGGGTTGGTGACACAGCTGCTCTCTGGCTGTGCTTGAGCTTTCTTTTTTTAGTGTCCAGTATTAGTCCCTCAGTGCCAGCTGGAGTTAAAGGAGCTGTTCTGGGCTGAGCCCACAGCAGCAGGCTGAGAACAGGCTTTGAGTGCTGGATTGGTTCCACCTTAAAAACAGGGAAAAAGGCACCTGCACCAGGTCAGGGCTGTACAGGTGCTGGCTCAGGCAGTGCTGCCACTCACCTGTCTCCTCAGAAAGAACTAAGGCAGGAGCAGAAAGAAGCCTTGTTTCAAAAGGCAAGTACTGGCACATTGCAACACCAGCCGCCATTTCCTAGGTCTGCTGCAGGCAGTGCTTTGGGGCCAGGGAATGGTGGGAGGGATTCCCAGCTCTCCCAGGGAAACAGCACACTGTGGGCCTGCTAAGGCAGGTTGTAGGAAAAGGCTCTTTCTGGGAGCACAGCTCCTACAGCCTGCCCGGGTCCTGGGGTCCCTCACTCTGTGAGGGTACCTGCCCTTTGTCACCTGGAACTCAGAAACGGGACCGGCTCCAACCCACCTTTTTTGCAAGAGGAGAGAAATCCAATCATTAATCTGAATTAGCCACCCAGTAAACTTTCCTAGACTCAAGAATGCTTGAAAGCAATGGAGCTGCTCCACATCCACATGGGGAATGTGAGCTGCCCAAGTGCCAAAGGGAGACCTGTGTATGCTGTACTTACACTGGTGAAACAGGAACTTTAATGCAGTACCAAGGATGATTAATTCTCATTGTCTTGGGAGTAAATGATGAGAGGAAAGTAGAAATTTAGTAAAAAGCATGTTTAGAATAGCAGAGCATGGAGGCTTTGCTGTTTCATGAAGAGCTCTCACTTCCAGGTATCTAAAGATTTTATTATGGTACAGAGGAGGAATGGCTGGGCAGGGGCACTCTGGGATACATCCCAAAGTCGAGGCTAGCAGCGTATCCCCATACCAATGGCCATGAATGTCCCAAACGTCCCACCGCTTTGCATCATCGTTTTGCCAACTCCACCCATCAGCTCTCGTCCTCTCATGCCAATCCTGAGATAAAGAAAACCAGGGAATTATACAGAAGCTGAAACCTGACACGTCACAGACAAGCAGCAGAAAACATGGGAGACAACCAGCTCATGGTTACAAATGAGCTAAATCAGCCTAAATCTGTGCAGTGGTACCTCTCCTACCCCCGACACTGTGGTGCCCTGTGCTTGAGCTACTGCTTCAGCTACTGCAGGGGCTCCTGAGTGACCCTCACCCATGGCCCATGGGTATTTTTTCCTGCAGTGGAACCCTCCTGCCACGCCACAGCAAGAACAGCTTTGCATCTTAGTGCCCCAAATACCCTTAATATGGGAGAAAAAAAAATTGTGCTGTCCAAGTTTTTGACTTGCAAGAGAACAAAAAGAGTTGTCTGAACTATTGTATTGCCATCCTGTCTGGATGCAATGGCAGTGCCTTTAATACTACCAACTTAAAATTAACTTCCTATTTACTACTGATTGTGTTTTTAATATGAGAGACACCCGAAAGGCGTAAAAGTGTCCAGAGGTGTTTCTGGTCTCCAGTTCTCACCTACCTGAGGTCTGACTGAAACAAAAAGAATTGTTCTGTCTCAAGAAGCTCTTGTAATATTTGGCTTTTAAGCACTGCAGTGACTTTAGGGTCTAAAGAATTTCATGCACTTGATTCTTAAAACATGAGATTTTCCCTCAGAAATGGTACAGCAGAACCACTATAACTGCTTCTTCTAAATCCCCAAAATCTGTATTTTCTGCCAGCATTGTGACACTTAGAAATACCCTCTGGGAACTCAGATCAGAAAAACATCAAACTTCCACTGGATTAGCCTTCATGCCTTTTCATCCTGTGTTTAATCACAGGTGAAAACCCTGGAGCAGAAGGAGTTGTGCAAAGTATGAAAGAGCTGACTGCAGTGGTTCCTTCTCACAGGTGATGTGCAAAGCCAGTCAGCAGTGCCAGAGCAGCGAGTGTGGTGTTTCCATGCTGGTGAGCCCCAGGGAAGGTGGAATGTTGTCCCTCTCTGATGCACAGTGGGGCTGTGCCAGTGCCAGCCACGCTCTGCCCACACTCCTGAGCTCATACTTGGGGTCAGTTCAGTAACTGCCCCCGTGCAAAGTGACCACAGTGCAGACACTGGGAGCCTGCAGAGCACCTTGGGAAGCTTCAGGGCCAGGAGAGGGCTGCACACACCATTCATCCAGCTCCCCCCAGAGCTGATCCTCCACAGCCTCAGCTTCCCAACAGGTGGCAGGAAAAGGTCTGTGGAACTGCGACCTCCTGGCATAGGGGTGACCCAGAGGTGACACTCTGCCAGGGCCAGACTCGCCTGGTGGATGCCAGGGCTGATCAGTGTGGCCAGTCTGGAGACCCTGACAAACTTCCACCCACGGACAGCACAGGCCCAGGCCCGATCCCTTCCCAGCCCCCCAGCAGCACCATTTCGCTCTGGCTGTCGCCCTGTCACCACCCGCCTGTGGCAGCATTTCCTCGGCGTACCTGAGGCAGGAGAACGTGCCGAACAGCGCCCCTGCAGCCATGCCCACGGCAAAGCCCATCATGAAACCCATCTTTATTCTGTCGAAGCAGCTGGGCTGCGACTGCCCGTACGGGCCCACGGTCACAGGCATCTAGAAAAGAAAGGACAAAACCCACAGGCTTTACTGCTTTGTGTAACGGGCCTCCACACCCACCGCGGGCCGGCCCGGGCCCGGAGCTGCAGCGCTGTGGCGGCCCCCGGGCCTGACTCCCCGCCCGCCGTGCAGGAAGGCCGGGCAGGGACTGACGGCCCCGCTTCGGCCCCAACCAGCTCCTGCGAGCGCCGCGGGGCTGTCCCGGGGCCTCCCCTGTGCCGTCCCCCCGCGAGCAGCGCCCGCGGCCCGGCCCCGGGGGCACAGCGAACCCGCCCTCCCGGAACCCGAGGCCAGGGCGGGGGCTCGGGGCGGGGGCGCCCCGGGAGCGGCGGTCGCCGGTCGCCGCTCCCCGCCGGGCCAGGAGCGCGGGGGTGGCCCGTGGGCCCGGCGGGGCTCTCCCTCAGCGCCCCGGTACCTCGCTGGGCCGCTCCGCGCTCCACCCGGCCCCGCTTCCGGCGCGCTCCTGACGGACCGGAAGAGGCGGCCCCGTGCGCGGCCCCGCCCATGCGCGCGCCCGCCCGCCATGCTGCTGTGGCGGCGTCTGGCGGGGCTGGGGAGCGGCCGCGCCCCGCGGCGGCTCCGGACGGCACCGGGGCAGGCACAGACACAGCCACAGGCAGAGGGACCGG